AAAAAAAAATATAAGATTATGTAAAAATATTATGTAAGAAATTAAAACTAAAATCTTTTATACAAGAACAAAATATGAGTTATTCATTTACTAATTTATAAATATTTGTTTGATTTCAATAATTTGAAACATGTATATTTTTTTATTTCGTTCGGTCTACAATAAAGATGGTGAAATAATTTTTTTCTAGTTTATAGTTTTTAAGTATAACTTTTTTTTTTTTAACTTAAAAGTGTCATCTTGAAATACTTGATATTATCATAATACACTCATACTCCCACGCGCAAACATACACACAAATATAATCACATATATTTGTGTGTATGTGTGCATTTATAGTATGTTATTTAAAAATAAAAATTAAATTATAATTTATTCTTAACAGAATTTTGTGTATTAAACGTTTGGATTCGAGTAACAATAATGAAATATAGAATTTGTATACTTTTGGAATTTTGCAAAAATGGCATGTCATTAATTTTCCATTAAAACTTGATACGATAATACAGTGGTTTTCAACCTTTTTAACAATGCGGCATACTTCATCTCCAACAAAATGTTTGCAGCACACCGATTCATATATATATACTATTTACAGTCTACTCTATTAGAGGGTTATTTATTGTGAAATATATTAATAAAATCGATCGATCGAGACGGCTGCAACGGGCATACTTACAATAAATAATATTTTATAGTTCGATCAGTTTTCATCTCGAATATCAATAACAAGCTGGTAAATATATACTTATATAACAATTTATTGATTTATGGCGGCACATTTAAAGGACGCTCGTGGCACATCGGTTGGGAACCCCTGCAATAATACTTAAAACTACGAATATTGAATTAAAATTATGTGAATAAAAATCATACAATCGTGAAGTAATTTTATATTACACAGTAAATTTAATTTATATTATTACTTTGAATAAAATTCTGGTATGAAATTAGATTCATCCTCCTTCCTTTTTAATATCAATGTAGCTGATCAACCTGCTATATAACAAACTATAGAAGCAGATTACGCTATTTATGAAGTCATCAACTCTATCAATGAAGCTTCGTTTAATCTGCAAACGTATCTTAATCTCTTGTCCGAATGATATGAAAAATGGTGAATCGAAATAAATCAAAATAAATCGGTTTGTGTTACGTTAACACTCGAACAAGAAGTATGCTCAAACATTACACTTAACAACGGATGAATTTCTACATCCGACACAGTCAGTTACTTGGGATTAACATTCGATGAACATCTAACATGGAAAAAACGCCTTCGATCTACAACATAACACTAAATGCTCGTATGCGTAAGATCAGACCTCTTTTAATTAAAAATAAACACAACATCATAAACACCAAACTCTTAATGTATAAAGCCTTACTCAAACCAATCTGGAAGTCTTGACTTAAATTATAGGATTTGGCAAAAAATCCAACACTAAAAAAATACAAACGTTTCAAAATACAACACTTCAATAAATTTCAAACGCTTCGTCATATATTTCTAATTTAACGTTTCATAACGCTTTTCATATGAAAACAATTAAAGAGAAAGCAAAAAATGCCTATGTACATTTTCATAAAAAATTCCAAACCAATCTTAACCCTCTTATAAAATATTTCTCCACTCCCACAATCCCACGAAATCCGATTTGCAGGTGATAAAGGAAATGGTGTCGTGATTTATTAGCTACAAAAATAAATACTACTTTTTAATTCTATTTTAGGAAGAAAAATTTAATACTAGTCAAGAGGCACTAATTTGTGACTACTTAATCCACCAATTTATGTGGTTTTGTATATAATAATAAGTTTTTCTTCTTCCTCAGCTTATCGGCCCATTAAGTACCCATCGCTGCCATCACAAAACCTCTCCATTTCTCTCCATTATGTGCGTCGTCAAAAGATGACTCTTCTTCTATATTTTTGATATCTTGAGCTGTAACGTCTACCCATCGGGTCCATGGTCTTCCTAATGGACGTTTTTTATTTATTTTGTTGACTAAAATTTCTTTTATTACTGTCCATCCGCTCTCCAAACATGGTTGAACCATTTTAGTCGTTTACTTTTTATATATGAAATAATATTTGGCCTGTTATATAACTCCTGTAGTTTTTTATTTTTTCCTTTTTTTTTTTTACTCTAACTATAAAAACTTATTATTTAGATAATTGTATGGATTTTTTGTGTAAAATAAATAAAAAAAAAATTAATTTTCACTTTACTGAATATTAAAAATAGTATAAAAACAACGAATACGTCTGGAAAATCATTAATAAATAATTTAGGAAATTTTAAATTGCCTATAAAACAAATAAAAACACCTATTTTAAGTAATACTTGTTCACGGTATAAATGTTGGTTTATATAATATAATGTTAGGTCATATGATATAAAACTTTTAAAACATTTTTACAGTTCCAAAATGTGATATGAATAAGTAAAAAAACATCTCGCAGTAAAATCAATAGCTACTCTTTTGCTTCTTTCAGAACCTTAAGTTGAAAATAAAATTATTTATATAATATAATACAATTAAAAGTATTAATATTTTTTTATTTTTTGACATTAGATGTATAATATTTAAAAAATGTCAGTCTTTTTTTTTTATTCTGTCTTGAAAAAGTATTTCACTTAGCAAATTTTTTTTTATTTTTAGTTTTGCTAAAAAACGTATCCACCAATGGTCGAGTTTGTGATGGCACAAAAAGTTTCTGTCTTTTTTAGAAGTTTTTTTGTTATTTTCTCTAAGCCACGATAAATAAAAATAAAACATAATTTCCTATCAAAGATATTTTTTTTTTTTTTATATATATTGAAATATACTATTAATTTTTGCTGGAGGGCACGATAAGAGTATATGCTAGAAGCAATTAAACGAGTAAATGATAAAAGAGGTGATGGAAGAAACTATCCATTGATAGTATAACTTTTTGTATACACTTAGATATATGTACATATAAATATATACGTATACATACATACGCACATTTATACAAATATTTTATTAGAATTAGAATTATTTTTATTTTTCCTAGGTATTTAAGAAATAATAAATATATTTGAATTGATGACCATTTCAAAAAGTCAAGCTGGGATGACAGAACTCTTACTAATTTTAATCTGCTTCGTAAATTTTTAATTTTGTTAATTTCGTAGACAACAAAAAAAATTATTAATATTCCATTGTTCGTAAATTTATTGTTATTAACTATGCAGAATGTCGACAGAAAATTAACAAAAAATGACTCAGATAATATTTTAACCTATACCTAATATCAAGCACATGGTTAGCATCCGATTGTTACAACATAATTTGCTTTAAACTGTATAGTTTTAATATACAAATCTGTTAATTATATATTTGTCAAATGTAAAGGAGTGTATTTATGTTCAATTTTTAATTTCACAGAAACACCCGCCCAAATGGCTTTCCGAGGAAATGCAATATATTTCGTATATTTTCTGAAAATTTTTTTTGTGCACATAAATTGTTTCGTAGCCGTTTGTAAACAAAAAAAAAAAAGTAAAAAAAAAGCAGCACTTCTATGTTGAATACGGCTGAGAAAATACTAAAATATTGTATATGCATAGTTATATACGCTAAAAAAATTACCGAATATGCATTAAAAATATGCACAAAAAACATCAAAATATGTTGAGTAAAAATGTATTGTAAAAAATTAACTGTTATTTCTAAGTATTACATTTTTATTAGTTGTTTTTATATTTTATATTTTTTGAATATATACTGATTAATAATATAAGTATTACATTGTGATATAATGTTTTTTTAGTTTGATCAAACTTGAATCTAAAAATATTTAATGTAAATAAAATTTAATCAGGTCGATTAATTAATTATAATAATAATAATAATAATAATAATCTCCATCTACCCGTTAATTTAAATTGTTGATAAAAGTTTGAAAAAACACTGAAATATGCATTTATATTCTTGAAATTCCAAAAAAAATGCATTTAAAATAAAAAACCATAAAATATGGATAAATTTACGAAATAAAAATAGTATTATTTGATTCAATAAGACGTGAACAAAATTGTAAACTAGGTGCGCATTTAATTGATCAATAGAAAAAAATATGCAATTTTATAAGCATCCAAGCCCTAATATTGAGTAATGTTCGTTATTATAAGTGTAATATAAATGCATTATAATAGAATGTGACAAATAATTGAAAAAACGTTCCAATAATCATAAAATACAGTGGTAGCCACTTATTGATTGGACTCACGGTTCATTGGATTTTTTGTCAGCAATATACATATACAAATTTTTCGTTTTTTCTATTTAATCAATAGATAATTTAAGTATTATAAATCCGAATATATCTATTCATACATTATGTTATTATAAATGTATGTTATTGACATTTTTATAACAAATTTAAATTGAACAAATAGTGTAGGTTAGGTTTTTCGCAGGTCTTTCGCCTTATTTAATGAATAGTGTGGATCCCAAAGTGAATCTAACAAGCGACTACTACTGTACTATTAAAATAGAACAACATGAATCGTTTTTTTTTAGATTTTTCGCGATCACTTTCGATTTGAATAATAAAAAAATAAAAAAAATCGTAATTACTACGGATGAAAATAAAAACACAATTCGTCAATCACTGATAAAAATATGTAGGACAAATAAAACCATAATTATACTTTTGTTGACAATTGCGTATGAAAGACTGTGTACTGTACACCAAATGGTTTCACTTCTATAAGTAATCGGATATCCAATATTGGTCTTATACTAATCATTGCAATTATAATAATTATTACGGTTATTACAGTCGCCGTTATATTATTTACGTTTAGCTAATCTATAAACATATAAATTACATTATTATTATTATTATTATTATTATTATTATTATTAGTAGTAGTTTGTTATCTCGCGAGTATTTGATAATGGTGATGGGATTCTCAAATCGTCGATGTTGTACAGTAATGGTTTTATATTTTTCTAATGTAGAATAAATACTCTCGTCATTCCTGCTAACGTAACCGAAGCACAACGTACAACCTGCGTCCTAAACCTATTGTTACGTGTCTTATTCGCCGTTCCGATGGTGTAGTGACACGTTAAAGCAGCGATATGCGGCCGTCGCTAGTAGTTCGGACGGTAGACTAAGGACACCGTAACGTTCGATTTACGATGCCAGTCATCTAATGGCAACTCCAGTTCATTCGCCCGAGTCAGACAATGTTTACGAAAAAGCCTACTCGGTAAGTACAATGCAAAAATAATATAATATCATATTCGTTGTATTTTTATCGTCCCGACACGCTTAGCGTATTAATGAGGACATTTTACTCTAACCGAAAACCGATCGACGGATATCAACATACGGTATGATTTGTCGTTCTGATCGAGCCACATTTCAAGCTTTTTACCACCTCGACCGTTTCGATCGAAGGAACGTACACACGCACGATTATTCGTAACGAAAAAAAATAAATATTAGGAAAAATGTAAAATTGATCACTTTTTGGTTACTCAAGAAATATTCTTTCTGTTCATTACGATAATTTTTATAACTACTGATAAAAGTAAATTAATACATTGTAAATGACGGTGAACTCTTTTTTCCGTCGTTGTATTTTAATTTATACTAAGCCCCTTATGTACGAACAAATTTACGTTACCGTTATAATCACACTACATACCAACTCACGTTAACAATATATTTCTTGGTATGATTTTTATCTTCACATGAGAACAACTTTCCCTGTTATCATCAATCGTTCTTTCTATGATTATATCGATAGCAATTTTCTAGATTTTATTACTTTGTACACCGACGATTCTCTCTCTTTGCTTTCTGTTCGTTACTTCTTCTCTATGTTTGACTTATACATCACATTTACAAGCAATTGCCACATTATTTTTTTTTTTTTTTACAGCCGAGTGATATCATTGAAGCGTTCACCCTTATCGTTCCTTTCCTAACAAATAAGTTCTTGATTATTTCGGACTCAATGTCATATCTTCAATCTTTAAATTCTAACCCTTTCAACTCTCATTCATTACATTTTTATCTTTGCATTAGATCCATTTTATTCCGCCTTCGTCAATAAAATTGTAATATACGATTATCCTGGGTTCCTAACCAAGTGGAAATTCGAGGCAATGAGGTAGCTGTTACCTTGGCCAAATTCAAATCACATTTAGCTCTTCCTTTTTTTTTTAATCCTATAGTCCGATTTACCCCATTCCTATGAATACTACCCCGTCAACCTTTGGTCTAACTGTTGGAATAAATTACCGGCACATTTTGATTATAAACTTATAATTATTACTTCCAATTTTTTAAACAATATTTGATTCAAAAATTTTACATTGAATATATTTTCTTTTACACATTTCAATTGTTTACGTATGGGTCACTTTTATTTTCTCTCAACTACAAACTAAATTTAAATTATTCTCCTTATTGTACTATCCATGCGGAGGAAAGTATTTGTGACTGATTTCATATGGTCTTCGATTTTTCATAATTTTTCACCAAACGAAATAATTTAATTACATTTTTGACTTTTAAGATATTCCTTTTAATGTTTTCGTCATTTTACGTCCTAATCCTTTACAATTGATAAGCCTGGTTATTTCGTTTATTCATTTAATTTTAAGTTGTTCATAAATTGTGTATATATTGTTGATTTATAACATTTGAGTTTAAAAACTACAAAAAATAAAAATATAAACGAATTAAAATAAATATCATTAAACTACATAGTAGTGCGTTTTTTCAACCATTTTTCTCTCTTACATATCGATATCGTAATATGGCTCTTATCTAAAAAGTAAAATATCTCTGGAATAAAATCGGGTTATTCAGCTAATAATAATTCTTGTTCGGTCACCGATTTAACGCGTTAGGCGCTAATCATTCAAGTACTATATCCCGAATTGACGGCTATTTTTTTTCGATGATCGAATCCGTATTAAATTATTCTACATCCGTTTAATTGAAGTAATTTTTCCGAAAAAAAAAAAAAATCCCCCGAAAATATTGAATAGCAGCCAAAACTTATCACTTCGAAATAGTGATGATCAAAATTGGTCTTGATCTTGCGGTCTCGCAAGGTCTTGCTGCAAGTCCAAGATCAAGACCAAAATTAGGTTTGCAAGAACAAGTTCAAACCAATACCGAAGCTGCAAGACCAATACTAAAACAAAACCATCACTGCAAGACTTTTGTAGTCTTGCAAATTTTTTTTCCCCCGAAAACACATTAGTTATCTAAATTTCATTAACGAATAATTTATAACGAAAACAATAAGAAATTATTTATATTGTTATTAAATTTTATCAGTATTCGAGGAAATGACGAATTATTGAAAAAATGATTAGAAATAATTGGAATTAATATTAAAAAATAACATAATATGATTGTTTTCATACTTATAAATCATTGAAAAATTATTTTTTTTTTTCCAAAATCAATGAAAACATGGAAAGTTGTCTTGCTCATAGAATAATTTTTGACTTATGTCCATAATACACCTCTACTTTGAATCGAATATACTAATAATTGCTGGAAGTCATTACGGACTACGGTAGATATAATTTTGATTGGAAGTACGTTTTTATTTTCCTTCGTAGCTTGTGTGATTTTTCCGTGACATTGTGTACTTAAACTAGTGTCTTAAGGCGCTTCCAGTCGGAGCAGTTTTTGCCGCGTGGCATGAATGTGAGTACATGAACACATTTTCCGCGGCTCTTTTTGATGCCGCGCGACATAATTTCCGATCAGCCTAGTAGGCGGTCTACACCAAAGGAAAGCCGCGCGGCTTGTGCCGCTCGCCTATGACGCGTGTGCGTGGACGTATTTTCGGCAAAGCCGCGCGGCATCAGTACTTATTTTTTAAGAAGGTATTTAAATTATTTTTAAAGTAATTAGTAACAGAACAAACTTTTTTCACTGAGGTAAAACTGATTTTTGTAGTAATCTCCAGAAGACACAATTTTTATTCTATCAAAATATTAATACTGAAGATTCTCTGTTTTTAAAAATACAAAGATCAATAATGATTTTTCAAAAATCTTTAATTTCATGTTTTTTAAGATTCAAAAATATAGATTATTTGCTGATCTCGTGCACTTCGTTGTCCATTAAAAATGACACAACTCTATAGTATTTTTGAATAATATATTATTATTATTATTATAATTATTATAATACTTTAATACAAATCGAGAAATAAATGCCGCACCGTCTGGACGCGTATTTGTCGCACAGCACGGGGCCGACGGAAGCCGCGCGGCAAAAGCTGCTCCGTCTGGACGCGCCTTTATATAGCCTTTATACACTTCATTACTGTCGTAAACTTTTAGTCTATAATATTGATATTTATTATAAATGTAATAGGAACTTACAAAGTTAATTATGCTGGTAAATTCATTCATCAAATATAAATACAAGTAAAATAATATACACATAATATTTTTAAATTCAAAGTCTTAAACGAGTACCTACCTATAATATAAATTAAATAATTTGATTATTTTATATTATTAATATACTATATAATATATTGGACTTAAGTTTCATCTTAGAAGTTATAACAAAAAACCTACACAACTATAACAGGTAGATATTTAGTTTTTTTTTTATATTTTGTGAAAGTAGCAAGAGTCTTGCGCAAAACCAAGACCAAGATTAAGGCGTATATCCAAGACCGAGACTGGGTTCACAAGACCAAGACTAAGACCAAGATTTTGAAAGTCTTAGTTTTGGTCTTGTTTTGATCATCACTACTTCGAAACGCGCAACGCTGAACATGTTTAATGCAAATCCGTGAAATATCGTGACAGGTACTAATGCACATGGATAAGATACTCCCGTTATCGCCGCATCGAACGAGTGTCGTCACATGCGCATTTTAATTACAACTGTACAGTAATTGTTAACGCACTTCACGTGAACAGGACTGACGAGAAGGTGGGAGAAGGGATCCCTTGTGTCCGGAATTTTTGAGAGGGCCCGAAAATTAGGGACTACAAATTATTAAAAATTAAACACAATTACCTATTGATAAGAATTTAATGAACACTGCAGAAAAAATTAAGGTATACCTCCGGGGTAGGGCTTCTCTCTCCACAACCCTGCACGTGAACCTAACTTTATTACGGTTTTTTTGGACTTGGCTGGTTTTGTGAAGTTCCGGTCGACGTCGAACGCGGCTCTCGTGACACGTTACGGGAGAAAGACATTTTGACGAGTGCACCGGAGGCGTGTCGTGATTGAAAACCGACGTGACGGACTGTACGACTGGGGACGAGACTTTTCGACGGTCGCCAAGTTCTTCACGATCGTAATTTCCACGCATATTTTACGTTCTCCATAGTATTGTTTTCTTTTCGTGGGGTTCCAGGTGCCAATCGAAAAAACCGTAATCACGTCTGAATCCAATGTTACAGGTCGCGCTGAACGAGCTGCAAAAACACAATAACCTTTAAATATATATTTATATGCTGAGAGTAATAAATCTGAAATTTTGATTAAAAAAAAAAAAAAAAAAAACATTGTCGTAATTACATATTCTAAGTGTTTTTCGACCAAAGTATCGAATCAATTTCAAACACTACTCGATCAATAGGTGATGATTATAGTTTTGTAATTCTTAGCATAATAGTAAGAATAATTGTATGAATGTACATTTTAGTATGAAAAAATAATTATATTTTCATTTTTTTGTATACCGAATTGCTGTTTATTGTTGAGTAGTATCGAATCACTTTAAGCTACGAATTAATTTTCAATAACATATTGTATTCGAATACACCCAACGTGTGATATATTCTGATGATACGGTATTAAGAAAAACACAAAAATCAATTTAATGTGTTAAAGAGCTATTGTTCTAAACCACCAAAACGCTGATGTTATGATTTCAAATTAAGCTTGGAAACAGACTATTATTATTAAAGCATTCGAAATAGTTTTTTCGATCAATGGTAAAACCGGAAAGTTTTATCTTGATTTTAAGAAATTCAATTAACTTGTATTAAAACAAAATCGTATTTTATGATTTTCGGAATATGGTAATTTAAATAATTATTATACTTTACGGTATAACTTATTCTTAACATTTCAAGCCAACTTTGTTTACTAATAATATAAATGGTTTTAATCATAGTCATTATAGTAACAAAGTACGTCTTTTAAATTAATGTTTATCTATAGTAATTTCATGTTCTTAAAAATAATATTTTATTTATT